GGCGGGGACTGGCTGTTGAAATCACTGATGTTGGGGGAAATAGGCACTGTAGAAAAAGCTGATGGAATTGAGTTCTTGTCGTCTCTGGACCTCAGTTTACACCTCTGAAAATCATCTTTAGACTTTAATCACTGAATATCCCCCTGGACCAGTAAGGGTGTTTCTGAGTACTTGTGAGAAATACAACTTCAGGTTTTGCCCATACCTTTGGAATTAGAATCTGCATATACCAAGATCTGCAAGAGATTCACCTGAAGATCTTTATAGTCTCATGAGTTCTTATGTTATCTGCACTTGGGACTAGCTGGTGGCATAATCGTTAGGTTGCTGAACTCCCATGTAGTCGACCGTGGTTCAAGTACCGAACCTAAAATTCATGCTGGGCACATGTGTGCCTGTCCTGGCCCGCGGGACAGTAGAACAGGTTCCTTGGGGGAGGGGGTGAGAGATGGGACAAAAACACACACACACAATACGAAGTGCTGGTCAAGTAGTCTTCTTCCGTCTACTTCCGTTTATTCAGGAAAAATGGCGAGTTATATACAGCTGGTGGGAACCAATTGGTTGCCCAAAATGCAAATGAGATAGAACAGCATGAACCAATCATTGTTGTGGATGGGTCTCTCCCATTGCCTAGAAACCCAACCACTTCCGGGGAGAACGGTTGGTCACATGATTTCTGAGAAACGATTTGCTCAGTGAGGAAGTGAAGCCTAATAGTTTCCAAGATGGCAGATAGTTCGAGATGGCTTCCATATGCAGTGCTTGCCACATGTGCCCAAAATCCTGAGAGGAGAATGGAAGAGAAGGGATTGCACTGTGACCATCCTCCTTGGAGATCATTTCTCACTTTCTATCTCTCTGTTTCTGTCTCTCTGGTGAGCACATGTGCCTTATAGCAAAAACTCTCTCTAAAAAATTTTTTTAAAAACCACTATCTGCACTTCTTTACATTCCACTTCTCTAGATAAAAACTCAAGTAAATAAATATTCTACCTAGAAGTACATAAATATTCAATGTTAGTGGCAATAGATCGCCCAGCTCCATTTTGGGGAAAGACGTAATCATCCAGGGTAATCGTCCCCCTTTTCCTTAACTATTTTGTATGAGACCGTGGCAAATACAAGCTGGCCATGGTCCTCTTCCAGTGAAAGCTTGGGAAAATGGCTGAACTAGAGAAGTAGCAATTTTAAGTTCTTAAGTGTTTGGTATAGATTAGTGATCTGTACTCTGCAAAATGTCTTGGGGGAGAGCCAAAAGTCAAGACAAAATTGAGCAGATGGGACTAATCCATTTTCAGCTCTAAGAAGTAGGTGATTGGGCCAAGAGGTGGCCGAGTGGTTGTAGCACTGGACTCCCACATGGCCAGCCATGGATGAGTCCCAGACCTGGCAACTTGAAACTCATGCTGGGTGCATGTGCATGTGTGCCCACAATCCCAAGAGAAGAATGAAGGAGAAGGGATTGCAGCGTGGCCAGCCCCCTGATGGGTGATTTCTCACTTTCTCTCTCTCTCTGTCTCATGTCTCTCTCTGTGTCCCTGGCAAGTGCACTCACCCTATAGCAAAAAATCTCTCTCTAAAAAAAAAA